ATGAAGTTTGAGAATCCCGTGCTAGATTAAAGAGCCCTCTCATAGGTGGCAGGTGAAGCTTCCCCTTGGGAGGCTAGCCCCCTGCTCCACCCCATCCGGCTGAGGCCCTGCCTCTCCCAGCCGAGGCCACACCTCCGATTGCTGCTCTCAGCGCCCCCTCCCCTGTGGACCTGGCTGGAGGGGAGGGCTGAGAGCCTGGGGGGGAGGGGGAGGCAAGGCTGAGAGCTTGGCCCAGCTGGGACCACAGTGCCACCCCATAGCTGCCACCCAGTCCATGGCCCTACTTCATTCCATCCCTTCCACTGCAGCCCTGTCCCCATTCTGCTCCCACTACACCTCTTCTCCATGAGACCCACCCCCACTGGCTCCTCTCTGGCCACCACTGCCCCGCTGTGGCCCTGAGACTGGAAAAGCTCTGTGCCCCTGCCGTCTGGGACCATGGCAGGGGGAGATTTTTCCAGGGGCCCCAAATTGGCTGGGACCCCAGGGCATGGTCCCCATGGGCCAGTGAGGTAATCTGCTATTGCCCCCTCCCACCCCGCAAGGTTTAGGGAGGCTTAGCCTTCCCCAGGCTCCATTACGTGCCACCCATGAGCCCTCCAGTGTCTGAAATCTAGGTACCGAGAGACCATGATTAAGTCACCCCTTAACTTTTTCTTGGATAAACTAAATAGATTGAGATTCTTTAGACTTTAAGTCATTCTTGTAGCTCTTTGCTGAACCCTTCCCAATCTGTCAACATCCTTTTTAAAGTGTGGACACCAGAGCTGAACTCAGCATTCAGTGATGGTTTCATTCAGGGTGGATTTGTGATTTAAATCACTAGTCAGGAAGACTCGATTTAATCATGGTTTTCTACATAAAAGTGCATTCTTGTTGGTTATAACCTTAATACATATTCTTCACAACTCAGAGATAGATGTGTTTCATTTTTAGAAGGTACACACTATACATTTTTAAACAGTGATTTATTTTGAAAACTTTTCAGATTAGTTTTACAGCTATATCAGAAAATGAATGATTGTTTGGTTATTTCATTTACCAAAGGTAATTGAAGCAGATATTTTCGAAGTCATTGGGAGGTGAACTATCTCCAGTTCAACAAGTTAATGATTAATATTTGGAGGATTTTCTTGCCATGCTGTATTAGGAGGAGAACATCACCAGACAGACACTTAAATTGTTTTATTTAACTAAAACAACAACGTTAAGTATTCTGGATTCTTTTCTTCAACAGCAAACATATAATATTTTAACAAAACAAGCATATGTCCTTTGCTTCTCACATTTATCTCCAGAATTTTTCTCCTTGTCCAGATCTATTCCACCCCCAAAAATCTTCTATTTATTGAACTTTTTGAAACTTTGCACTTTTAGAGAGAAGTAAGGGATTGACTCTATGTACACAGATTTGCAGAGGGACAATAGAGTTGAGATTTGTTATTTCTTACCTCTCTCTATTATTTATTTATTTTAAAACATTTTTGCTGTTAAGAATGTTACCTCTGGAGACACAAATCCACAGTTTGAGAACTGCAAAACTAAGCATCTCTGATGGTATCTTCTAGACTGAGCACTGAGTCCCATTGGGTAGATAGAAAGATTAACCTAAATAATCTGTACAGAAGCCTGTGGAACTCCATAAAATTGGGTCCCTAATCCATGAACTATTGGAACTCATTTACAAAACTTTTCTTAAACATTACGTGAATATATTGTCTCATACTATAGAATTAGAATTTATAATCACTATTCCATGATGAGATATGTTTGAGCTATAATGTATCTTAATTAAAACTATGTTTAGATAAAATGTTTTTTAAGGAAAAAAACCTATCAAAAATCCGATTTAAATTAAAAAAATCATTGATTTTTATCCACCCTGGTTTCATTGCCGGTGAGGAAGATAAGTTCCCAGGCACCGTGTAGCTGGAGTTGGTTATCTTGTTTCCTGTGCTCGGCACAGGTTGACTCTCTTCCTGTGATAATGTTTCTTACTGGTTATCGTGGGATCGTCCTCCTGTGCCCCCTCGGTGCTGGGGAAGGGTGGGAAGGAATTCCAACCCACAGTGTACTTTGGAAGTCTAAGGTTCAGCCTTGTAAGACAGTTGGCCTCCTGTGACAAATGTAGGAATCATTGGTAATATTTTTGTGAACTTTCTTGTGGCCCTGTACCCACCTCCCTCGGCATCGCTACTCCTTGTGGGGAAAGAATTCATGTTCTCCCTGGGACACGGGAGATCAGGACTAGAAGGTTGAGATACCAAGGCACAAGGGCTGTCTGTGCTAAAATCAACACCTTTGAATGGGAGCCACATTGAGTGAACGTTAACTCCTAGAGTAAGCTACTTCCCCCACCTACCCACTTCTCTGCGGGGAAGTACAGCGAAAAGCCCCGTGCTGCAGAACAAAGTTAAGAGGTGGCGGAGTGTTAAGGTTACTGCTGGGATTGGGAACACACACAAGGGACAAGAAGAGACTACTTGTATTCAGCAGAACATCGATTTCAGGCCACGTGGCTCTCTCTGATATGAGCTCTCTCTCAAAATTACCTCTCTGCCGCTAACCTAAAGACTTCCAGATGTTGTATTCCAGGTGACTAATAAATGTCCCCTTGCTGTGACATGGCTGCCTGGCGTCCCTGCAAATACTCGCTGAAGTTGCATCACTCCTTAAAGATGTAAAGTCTGTCTCAGGAGTCTGACTTTGGCAGGACTCACTGCAGGGAGCCCCGGAGAGAACCAGGGCTCGCTGGAGCTGTTGAGGCTGCAGGGCTACCCTTGTGGAGCAGCGTGGGCCCATAGGGTCCAGCCCACGAAAGGGGTGACTTCTAGGAGACTGCTTCAAGGCTGGGGCGTAGCCCGGACCCTGTGAATCTGAGACAACCCCCAACCTCTCCTGCACTCCCGAGGTCACTTCCTCTTCCCTACGGCCCCTGCTCCCACAGGATGACCCTGGAGCACAGCTGAGCTTTCAGCAGCTTTGCACAAACCTGGTTTCTGGATTCTCTCCCTTCAAGGCGGAAAACTAAAGGCCTCAGGGGCTGGCAAACGACAATCCCCGGATGCTCTGCTTTGAGTAGAGCCCGAAAACTCCTTCGGGGGGGAAGCCCTGGCTGTGAAACTGATCTTATGCCTTTACTGCTGACCTCCTCTCCTTTATAATTACTCCAGGCAAGAGACTAGCTGATCCAGGGTTCTGTCCATTCAGCCTTGCCTCCCAGCCTGGAGCCCCAGTGCTTTCAGCCAAACCCCTGGCTGTTGCAGGCTCCTCAGGAGCAGCAGACCCCATCCCCATGTAAATAGATCTGTCCTGGTTTACAATGCCCAGTGCGTGCGCTTGGGGTCTGCCCCTCAATCTTTGGCCCTGTGCCCTGGCCGGAGGCAGATGGACAATCTGGAGCTGATTCAGGGGAGAGCAATGGGGAGGGTCACTGGGCTGGAGGGAGGAAAGATTAAAAGAGCTAAATCTGGAGGGAATGCTCATGTGACAACTGAGACAGGGACACCGTGGGAGCCTGCAAAGATCTGACAGGCCCTGAGCGCCATGGAGGGAAAGGCGTTATTAGCATGACCAACTGAGAGTCCCTGGAACAATGGGAATGTGCCAAGGAAGGGCATGTCCAGGTTGAGTCTCAGGGGAGCTGGCTTGGTGGGTTGATGTACCATCTGGGGAAACCATCTCCCAAGGGGCGGTGTCAGAGCCCCATCCCAAAGGACTTTATTGCCACATGGAGACCTGCTGCAGGGAGTGGCAGGCAGGAAGGGATGGGGAGATCGGGCATATAACCTGTGTCCTGCTGCAGGGGAGAACAGAGAATCACAGTAATGTTGGGCTGGAAGGAACCTAGTCCAGCTGCCTATGCGAGGCAGGACCATGTAAACCTAAATCACCCCTGCCAGGGGGTTGTCCAACCTGTTTTTAAAAACCTCCAATGGCAGGGATTTCACAGCCTCCCTTGGAAGGCTCTTCCAGAGCTTAACTACCCTTAGAGTTAGTCCTAATATCTAACCTAAATCTCCCTTGGTGCAGATGAAGTGCATTACTTCTTGTCCTACCTCTAGTGGACATGCAGGACAATTGATCCCCATCCTCTTTATAACAGCCCTTAATGTACTTGAAGACTGTTACTAGGTCCTCCCTCAGTCTTCCTTTCTCAAGACTGAACATGCCCAGTTTCTTTAACCTTTCCTCACAGGTCAGGTTTTCAAAACCTTTATCGCTTTTGCTGCTCACCTCTGGACTCTCTGCAATTTGTCCAGCTCTTTCCTAAAGTGCGGTGCCCAGAATAGGACACACTACTCCTGCTGAGGCCTCGTCAGTGCCAAGTAGCGTGGGACAATTACCTTCTGTGTCTTACATATGGCACTCTTCATACACCCCAGAGTGATATTAGCCTTTTTCAGAACTGCATCACATTATTGTTCTATATTCAATTTTTGATCCACTATCATCGCTAGAGCCTTTTCACCAGTAATCCCACCTAGCCAGTTGTTCCCCATTTTTGTAGTTGTGTATTTGATTTTTCCTTCCTAAATTAAGTACTTTGCACTTGTCTTTATTGAATTTCATCTTGTTGAATTCAGACCAGTTCTCCAATTTGTCAAGGTCATTCTGAACTCTAATTCTGTCCTACAAAATGCTTGCAACTGTTCCCAGCTTGGTGTCATCTGCAAATTTTATAAGCATATTCTCCATTCCATTACCCAAGTAATTAATGAAAATATTGAATAGTACCCGGACCACGGACTGACCCCTGTGAGACCCCCACTAAATACTGCCTCCCTGTTTGATGGCAAACTATTGATAACTACTCTTTGAATACGGTTTTTCAACCACTTGTGCACCCACATTCTAGTAATCTAATCTAGACCATATTTCCCTAGTTTGCTTATGCAAATGTTATGTTGGACTGTCAAGAGCCTTACTTAAATCAAGATATGATGGGAAGGAAGCTTCGAAGCTGCTGACGTTCGATTTATTCTCACACAGCCCTCACTTGTTCAGTGGGGTGATCCCAGAATCCCTGTCATCCAGACTCAGACGCTCAGATCACCTCAGTCTCTGACTGATTGGCTGGGGCACCTGCCCTTCAACTGCTCACTGCTCTGCAGCCCACCCTGCACCAATGGCGGGAGCTTCCTGTGCCTTCCTTCTCTTCTTGCTTATGGTTTCCCAGCCCAGAGGTAAGTGACGCAGGGCTATATCCACCCTGCGGGGCCCATCAGTCTTGGGGGAGTTACATCAAGGGGATGGGGACATTATTTCCAAAGTCAATTCTGGTTAATAGCAAGAAAGAGAAGCACAGAAGCTCCCATTGTTAGCTGGTCTGAGGTCATAAGAACGGCCATACTGAGTCAGACCAATGGTCCATCTAGCCCAGTATCCTGTCTTCCGACAGTGGCAACGGCCAGGGGTTTCAGAGGGTATGAGCAGAACAGGCAATCATCGAGTGATCCATCCCTGAGATCTAGCCTGCGCTGGAGGGAAAATGGGGTGTGTCTCCTATGGCTGGGCATAGAGAGGAACAGGCGTCAGCTCAGATGGCTGGGTGCACAAGACTCTGGTCACAGTTAGCGTATTTCATGAAGCCTAGGGGAAGAAGGAGAGAATGCAGGTCTGGGAGCCAGCCAGGAGGGCTGTGCTGCGAGATGTGCTGCCTCTCTGAAGCCCTGACACCCCTGCACAGGCAGCAGGGAGTATGGGGCAGGTGCGAAGCAGCATGAAACCTGCAGCCTGGACTCATGGCCACTGAATCCAGCTGCTCCTATTCCTGGCTTTGCCAGTGACTCATTGTGCCCCTCCCCGCTGGCTTCCATTTCCTTCTCTGCTAAACAGAGATACAAGCTCGGGGCTGGCTCTTTGGAGCTTCTGCTGTCCAGTGTGGTGACTCAATGCCACTGAATACCATGAATCCCTGTGCAGGGGGCACAGGAGGGGGAATTGTAAAGGGCTGGGATTGTAATTCTCTGCTGCGCAGTGGGGCTGTGAGACTCAAATCACTCCTGTGAGTGAAAAACTCCAGCCTGGGCCACGCTAGAGAAGGGCTGGGGGTTATTACCATTGTACAGAAAGCCCCCTTCAAGTGACAGGGCTGGGAAACCAGGGCTGGAAGGGAGTGGCGGGACAGAACTTGATCAGTTTCCTCAAGTCTCCTTTGTCTTCTGTGTTAGATGCGAGTCCGTTCACAGTATCTTGTCTCCCAGTGTCAATGAACGGAATTCTGGGAGAATCTGTCGTTTTCCCTCTCCTCAATCCTGGAGTCTTCAAAAGCATCACCTGGCACGGCCCCTCCCCTGCCAATGCTGAAGCCTATGCGTCACGTAGGCCTTTAGCAGTTATCACCCCAGGGGCCCCTGGAGCGCTGCCCCACATTTCGATGGAGGACGAGAGATATCGAGGGAGAGCAAGACTCCACAACCAGAGCTATTCGCTGGAGATCAGCAACCTGATGCTGGCAGACGTTGTCATGTACAGCTGGGAGACAGCAAGTGCAGATAGCAATATCTTCTGTAGCTATGACCTGCACACCCACAGTGAGTGTGTGGAGGGGGAGGGGGGATAGACCCCAGCTCTGCAGAAACCTTGTAATGCTGTTTCAGCACTGGTCAGCATCAAAGTGATGGCTGGGCTGGGCTTGCAGGTGGCATAAAATTTGTATAGATTCCAAGACCAGAAGGGGCCATTGTGATCCTTTAGTCTGACCTCCTGGATAACCTGCCCCAAAAGGATTTGCATTTTAACCAGAGGAGATCTTTTAGGAAAACATCCAATCTTGATTTAAAAATTGCCAGTGATTTTCTGACAGTATCACCAGGCCTAAATATTCAAAAATCAAAGTCAGGACCCCAAGATCATGAGATTATGTTAAAAATAATAAATGTTGGAGTGGAGGGTTAGTTGCCTTCTGGCTTTGGGGCCTTTAGGGTCTCACTTGCTTCAGGCTACCAAGCTTTGCCCTGCAGCTATGAAAGCTACAGACTTATTTCTTTTTTAAATGAAAGCTGAGATCCTCCTGCACTAGGAGGATGAAAAAAAAAACACTAAAAATCGTAAGGCTTGCTATAACGTCACAAGATTGGCAACTGGGCCCCAGAAACTTAGTTTGGGTACAGCAGAGCAAGGTCAGCTCTTATAGAAAGTGGCCCAGTGCAAAGGACCAGGGTGTAGGTGGTCTGACCTAGTGGTCACAGCTGGGCTAGTGCCCACAGGTTCAAGGATATCCATGAAGTGGTAATCAGCAAGCAGGGATCAGAGTAAATGCTGAAGCTGGGCTTGGTAGGCAAGAGTCAGAGTCAGGCTAGGGTCAGAGAGTAGAGATCAGAGACAGTTACCAAACTTGAATCAGGAGGTGAGGGTCGAGTCGGGTCAGGCCAGGGTCAGAGATCAGAAAGCAAGGCGAGGTGTGACATCACAGCAAGCCAGAAATTTATGTAGGTGCCCAGATAACTTCCTAGTCCACCCTCAGTTTAAATAGTGAGCCTGCACCAATCAGAAGGCTGCAGGGTGCTGTCACTCTAGTCCCTTCGGGTGGTACTTCCTGCAGCGCTTGATGTCCCTAGTGCGCCTTGGAAATGACTCTCTACCGCCTCCCAGTGGCAATGTAGCTGTCCTGGGCTCTGCAGAGCTGGGTTCTAGTCCTACAAATCCTTACAAATCCAGGCTCTGTAATGCCCTCACAGAGCAGAGAGTTATTATGACTGGGTGCCATATGGAGCGTTGCCTCTTGGGCCTGAGCGGGTTGCCAACATCCAGGGCTGTTTCTGCTAGGAGGTTTCAGAGTAACAGCCGTGTTAGTCTGTATTCGCAAAAAGAAAAGGAGTACTTGTGGCACCTTAGAGACTAACCAATTTATTTGAGCATAAGCTTTCGTGAGCTACAGCTCACTTCACGAAAGCTTATGCTCAAATAAATTGGTTAGTCTCTAAGGTGCAACAAGTACTCCTTTTCTTTCTGCTAGGAGGAGAAATCAACGCTCCAAGGGAGGGGTACTCTGGTGCCATCTTGCTTATTTACAAAGAACGTCCATAGAGTCATATCTCCCTGGCTGTAGTAGAAATACAGAAAAGCAGGTAGCTCAGAACCCCCACATCTGCCCCTCCAGTGGGCTCCATGCCCAAGAAGCCCCATATCTCTGTTCCCTCTCAGAGTTGTCACATTCACTCCTCCTCCTCGCTTTGGGCAGCTCAGGCTGCTACACTTAAAAGATTTGCTGACATACTTGTGTCAGTCATGAGTGTGAAAAATCCTTCTCCTAACTGCCATAGCATTGCCGGCAAAAGGTTTTGTGTTGACGCTTTTATGCCAGCAAATAGGTCCTGTTGCTGGAATAGTTTATGTCATCGGGTGAGCTAGTATAAGCTAAGGAACTCTTGCTGATATAAGCCACTTCTCTGCTAGGAGAGTTGGCTGGCGTGCCTCTTCCGATATAGCCTTGGTGGCAAAGTCTTTCTTGAGTAGATAGTGTGTAAAACACACTCCACCTGCTGCCAGTCTCCTAGTCCCTGTATCTACAAGCAGAGAAACCCCTCAGCCCACACAGCTTAGCTCTGACCTTCCTTGGGCATTCCCTCTATTGTTTGTAGCAGAGGTTTTTGATATAAAGGGACTGGGTGGCTCCTTCTGTGGAGCCTGAAATAGGATGTTTGGCCTCCACTGATTTTAAGGGGATCTGTGATTGTAGATCAAACACGCCCCCCATGGCAGCTATTTGCACCTTTCAGAGCATTATGAAAATCTCACCTCAAAACGCAGGCAGATAATGATTTTTTTTTTTACTTTTTAACACTGAAAGTCCTACAGAATCAGGGTCTGCCACTGGAGGGGGGCTCAGGTAACCTCTGGGAGGCTGGCATTGTTCTCACCTGTGGGAATCAGTCTCTAAGTGGGAGGCCATTAACCCTCGGGTTTCAGCACTCCCCACCACTGTAGCCTCTGGCTGTCGCAGGGAGGGACCTGCAGTCGGTTCTATCCACAGCAGCCTCTGTACAATGTTATTTTGTATTTCCCACCCCCAACCTGGGCCCCAGAGCGACTGTCGGAGCCGGAGATCAGGATCTAGTCTATGATGGCTGGGAACAGCATCTGCAATGTGACCTTCACCTGCAGCGCCAGGGAGGGGAACAAGACCATCAAATACATCTGGACACGCTCAGCAGGGGCCCCTGTTTTCTCCATTGAGGAATCTCTGCTGGTCCAGCACAGACTGGGAGACGAGGACTTGCCCGTCACCTGCACAGCCATGAATCCCGTTAGCAACAGCTCAGCCAGCGCCTCCCCCAAGGCGGCCTGTGAAGGTGACGCTCGCTCCATCCCTCCCTCTTGAGCGCATGCCGCACGGAACGACCTGTGCAGGGCTGGCTCTTATATATACACACTGCTGCTCTGGCTGGGTTCTAGGGCACAGTGAGCACCACTGGAGGGCTCGCAGGCTTTTTAAAGGGCAACTCCCCAATTCCTACCCCCCATCCTGGTGCTAGGCAGGAAGATCTATGGCTGGGGGTACTGAGCATTGTGCTGCATCCGGCCCAACGGGAACAGCTGGGCATCTCCATCCCATCCCCATCCAGGATCTTCGGAGTCGGAGCTCCCAGCACCTGGTGCGGATATGGGTTTTCCAGACTGAGGAAATCTGCTAACCACTGATTTATTCCGTCAGGTCCCACCCTGCCCCAGGCCATGTCACTGCCCTACTGCCATGCCAAGGGGATCCTTGTGCTGGGGGTGCTGGGAACCCTGCTGGCTGGGATCCTCACAGTGAACGTCCTTGCCGCGTGGGAGCAGAGACAGCACTGAGAGGAAAGGAGCTTCCACTGTGGCGCTGAATCCATCCTGACACTTCCCACTCTGCCAGACAGGGGGATGCGGCAGCGGGGTTGGCTGTGGCTCCCAAAGGGTTAATACGTCCTGAGCGGGCAGAGGAGCAGCAGCTGCCTACACAGGGCTGAGGACTCTGAGCCCAACATGACTCCCTGACCCGTGCCCTGCTGCTGTGGGGCGTGGGCTGGGGAGTGACTCCAGGTGGGAGGGCATGAATTTCTGGGGGATGCCTGCTCCCACTTTTCCTCGTGACCAGGAAAGCCCCAGGGAAATGCAGCTGGGCTCAGAATTGGGGATGGGAGGAGCCACGCAGAATCAGATCCAGGCCCCATTGTGATGCTGCCTGGGGGTATCCAGGGCTGTGGGCACCTCGCTACCACCTGCCCTTAACACAAAGTAGCCTTGTCTGTGCCTGCCAGGGTCAGCTCTGTTCCCCAACTCCATTAGCCCTCCCCTCTAGGCCTACACAGGCCCCGCTGTCCCTCTTCTGCTTAGCAATAGCCACAGACCAACCCCCGAGAGCTCCCATTGTCTCCCTGGAGCATCCAGCCCCTGCTCCACTGGCCACTCGCAGTATTCACTGATCAGCTGCTTCCAAAGAAACTATACTCGCCAGTGTACCAACTCCACCCCACATCACCGCTCTGCTTAACACACAGCACTTAGACTTTGATGTCACTCTAAACAAGTTAAGTTTATTTAACAGAGCACAGAGACTCCGGTCATAGCAAGTAGAGAGATTGGAAGCAAATGGCTGCATATGACATTAAATCATCACACATTTTAGATCCTAGATTAATAAGATAGCATCATGTCTAATGAAGTCTTGTTCATGCAAATCTCATGCCTAATAAAATATTGCTCACCCAAAATCCTTGCAGTGTTTTCCACCTGTGACCCTCCCTCCAAGAGATATGCATGCTGTCAGTTTGCCTCCTCGGGGAAGGATTCAGTTCATCCTTTTGCATGCCGAGACAGACCAGACCAAGCCTTTGTCTTTATTCATAAACGGGACCGTCCCACCCCCTGCTTGTTTCTCTTGTAGATTTCACAGTCTCTCAATTGGTATCTGGCTCAGTGTGCCAATAGGCAGACAACACAGTCCCATGGCCAGACAGGGAGATAAGTGTCAGCTATGTCCTACCAGATAGGAACATTTCCAAGATACGTACCCTCGTGGACTCCAAGCCCTTAAGAACACAATTTTCTGCACAGATTCATAACTCCTTAAACAGTATCAGAACTTAATCACAATTATTATGGTGATCACTGGCTCTTGTAGAGACCTCATGTGCCACCTGATATTGGCAGATATCTGATATTCGGCTGGCGATCCTTGTAAAACCCTATCCACCCCTCTTCCAGTCAGCAGCAAGGGGTCCCTAGGTCCTATTCCTCTGCTCCAGCGTCCCCTCTCTGACAGTGACCATGCTGCACGCAGGGTCTCTGTGGCTAAAGTCTTGGCCTATTCCCAAGGATCTGTACGATTCAGTCAACCCTAGAGCTGTAGCCTAGATTGCCTCCCCCGCATAATTCCCTTGCTCTGTCAATGAAAGCAACAGGGGGAGTGGGTGCCCACAACTGGGAGCCTCCCAGCCCATTTGGGAAGCTTCATATCCAGGATCTCTCGGGGGCAGTGTTAGAATTCCACCCCCTGAGCGTTCCATGTCTGGTTACTCACAGACACGTCTGTTCAGTGAAAGGTTTAATTCATCTGCTAACACTAGTATGCAGACTTCTGGGGAGGAGCGCACCTGGGCAGCAGAACAGTGGAGAGCTCTTTGCAGAGAACACACCAGTAGGGGGCAGAAAACAATTCTGCCGGCTGATGGCCTTCCCAGCATTTTGGCTGCTGAGTGAAACCTGCTTTAGCTGGAGCCTTCGAAGCTCTGCAAAAGCTGTTAAAGATTTTGTTCTCAATAAATTCATCGAGCTACGGCACTCGATACATTGCTCATGTCCTGCCCAATCTTGGCTTACCCACTGCCACTGTCACTACGAGACATTACAGAATTAAGCCATTTGTATCTATTGCCTGCAAGGTGTCTGCTGCTACCAACCCTCTTAACCAGATCTTCTAGTGGTACCGTTTGGTCATGTGTCTATGTATGGTCTAATTGCTGGGGTGGAAGTGACTGCCACCTACTATGGGCAGCTGATATTTTTTGCATAAGAAATGGGCGGAAACTGCTTTATCAGGAGGAATGAAATCACCTGCTTTTTGATTCCATATCCACATTTCTAATTTTCTATTTATGGCACAGACGAATCTCAGGCATTGTCCCATAGCTGCAAAATGGAAACTCCCATACACAGCACCCCCTAGTGCTGCACTGAAGGTCTGTCTCTGCTTAGCTGAGCTCACAGCAGAGGGAGAACAAGTGCAGCCCACGCTGGCATGGCTCTCTGGCCTTTAGACTGCATGTTTTACAGACAGGGAAACTGAGGCACAGAGCAGGGGAATGACTTGCTTAAGGTCACCCAGTAGGCCAGTAGCAGAGCTGGGAATAGAACCAGTCCAGTGCTCTGTTCACTAGGCCACACTGCCTCCTACACCCTGCTTATCTGCACAGACTCCCTAAGCTATTGGCCTGCAGGTCCCTTCTACTCTGGCTCCCCCACAACTATCCCTGGTGCCCTCCCATGACCAGGCTCCAATGCTTTCAGTTCCACCTACGACGCAGCTCCCCACTCTGGTTCCTACCACCTGGCACCCTTGGTCTCCACAGAGTCCTCAGCTCCTTCCC